TTCCAGTGGGAGTTCCAGATTGGCCCCTGTGAAGGCATCAGCATGGGAGATCACTTGTGGGTAGCTCGTTTCATCTTGCACAGAGTTTGTGAAGATTTTGGTGTGGTAGCCTCATTTGATCCTAAGCCAATCCCTGGCAACTGGAATGGCGCTGGTTGCCACACTAACTTTAGCACCAAGGAAATGCGGGAAGATGGTGGGCTTAAGTAAGCACTAATAGGCTTCTTGTTTTTTGTTTTTTTTAATTGGTGGCAAATGAAAATCATAAATGGCTGGCTTTGATTTGTTCATGGTTTTTATTTATTTATTTATTTTTTAACAAGAGTATTAAACTATTGTTTTGTATATCCTTAACTAGATGCATTGAGGAGTGCATTGATAAGCTTGGAAAGAGGCATAACTACCACATCCGTGCCTATGATCCAAAGGGAGGCCTGGACAATGCTCGCAGACTGACTGGCCACCATGAAACCTCCAACATCCATGAGTTCTCTGCTGGTGTGGCGAACCGTGGCGCTAGCATCCGCATCCCACGAACCGTGGGACAAGAAAAGAAGGGTTACTTTGAGGATCGCCGCCCATCTGCCAACTGTGACCCCTATGCGGTCACCGAGGCCCTGATTCGCACATGTTTGCTAGATGAAGGGGGTGACGAACCTGTGGACTACTAGATCTCTCTTCTCCTGGACTGAACTTTCCTCCCCTTCTTGCCATAACTCCCTGTTTTCTTTTTTTTTTTCTTTTTAAATGGCCATCAAGCCAAATTAGTACTGTATCTAGTTTTCTATCAGGGTGGTTCTAACTTGGCATTTTAATATCACTGAAGTTGACTGGTCAACTTAACATTTTAAGATTAAATCTGAAGTTAACCTTATTTGACTGGGGACACGGTGTTGCAGGGCATGTTTTTCCCCCTCCCCCCTTTCCCTCATTTTAATTGTTTCTTGGATTGGATGTTTAACATTAACGTTGAAAGCTCTCTATGATCCCATGACTCTACCATTTGGTAATTAAGATGGACTGAAAAGCGACTCAAGTGCACAGAAGAACCTAGGGCTGCCAAGGCTAGACATCTAATTTCTTTTAAACAATAGCTAGTTGTTGCGTATGTTGACTTGATTATTCAAGTATGTAATGTTTCAATGCGTCTTACTGACAGTGTATTAATTGGCAAATTTTGGTATCCATTTTGACTGTACACACTACACTGTTCTTGTTGTGCGGTACACTTCACAGTTGAGGTCCAATAACTGTCCTGTTTTTATATTTGTGGAGCTGTTATTTGTCATGTTAAATCCCTGATTCATCAAGGATTTGATCTTGTTTTTGTCTACTACTATGACGTAACTGCACTGGTTTTGGTAAAAACCTTAAGTTGCTAAAAAAAAAAAAGGAGACTTAAACATTTATTTTTTACCACAAACTTGTCTTGTGTGCTTCCTCTTTACAGTGGTGATGTCTGGCTTGTGTACTTGCCGATCTGACTCATATGCTATTTTGGCATTACAAGATCCCATGTTTTGAAAACGGGGCAAGATGAGTATAGCAAAGCAATATACAAAGACTCAACATGGATTCCAACTTGAGATTTTCCTCTCAAAAATACAATCCACCCGTAGTCCTAATTAACTGAAAGCTTGGCATTATTAAACACTCATTTTAATTAAAAAAAATTGTAAGCTTTGAATAGCAAGTTTTTATTGCCATTGACATATTTGTTCTTGTTTTAAGCATAAACTTCCTTAATTTTGCTCAATATTACAGAAAAGACTTCATATCATAATGTTGCATGCCATGACTATGAGTTTAAGACTCTGCTCCAATTTAGGACCTTCTAAGGCTTTAATTTGTGGAAGGGCAAATTAAGACTTAAGACCTGCAGAAACCCTAATAAGGGAGCATAAATCTATGCAGAGCATTAAGGATTAGTAAATTAATGTCCAGTTTTGCAAACAATTTTTTAACATGCAAAACTTAATTTTTCAACTTTGTTACTTTGTCCTAAACTTCCATTTACTTCTGAATCACAGGTAAAAGATTATTTGTTAGCTTTATATTTGAAAAGTATATAGATCCAGTATATATATATATATCAAGTATATCTATAAGGATAGATCTATATAGTATATAGATCCAGGATTTTCATTTTAGGGGCTCTGCTTTTTTTTATATATATATATATATATATACCCTCATCGTTTTATAGTATAAGTATATGCGTGCTTCATTTGCACTGGAGGAAACCTGTGGTGTGATGAGGGGTGAACGAAGCGAAAACTTAGGCTACAGTAGATGGGGAACCGATTGCTTTGTAAACTGTATTTATGACAAAGAACTGCACAGATGCAGATATTATAACAATCTATGGATAAACACACACCTTATCCTCTGTTTCTCGCGCTGCGCCGCTGCGGTCTGCGGATTGAAAAAGAACGCGCTCGCGCTGAAAGACGGGGAGGAGCCGATCGAAGTCTGCAGCCGTTTTCAGATGAAATTTAAAGGGGACTGAGGTGATCACGGATTCGTGTAGTTTACATGAACTGAATTCGTGTACAGGAACTAATGGCAAAATTGTAGGGGGGCTATAGCCCTGCAGTGTATTGGTCAACATAGAGATTAAAATGGTTTCTTTCTGAAACATCGTATTGCAAAATATAGACAAACAATTCAAACCCACATCGCAGATATTTGCAGAGTTTGCAGCTCAACTTTTGCAACATCATCGATAAACTGCTCTTTATCTGTTTGGGAGGAGCCCATAAACACGGTTAACAGTAAAGTAACATTCACTAACAGCGTGATTAGACGCTGTTTGTTGGCTCTCACACTGGAACAAAGGGGCGTCTCGGTTTCATGCTATGAAGTGCAGGAACATCCAAGCTTTCCTGGGACAAAAATATTTACTTTATGTGTTTTTTTTTCTGCGAGGTGGGAGCAGGATTAACAAGTTTGTTGTGGAACCTTTCACCTACATTCCCATGCCTGACAGACTGACAAGTCATATATAGCCTTGTGATTGGCTCCCCAAAGCGACTTCCAACCAATCATAAATTAGAATGGTGTTTCTGTCCGGGTGCTTGGGAAAAGTTGTTGCTGGGAGGTTGTGCTTAAAAATTAAATAATTTTTAAGTGCGGAGTTAAAATAGACTTTGAAGAAGTCCAGTGCTTTCTTGTTATGATATTTTTTTTTAATCCAAAAGACTTCTCAGAATCAACAGGTAAACTTTGATCATTTAATTTAATATTTAATCATTACATTTTGAGATTGGAACAAATGAGCATTATTTGATTTTGTAATCATGCTGAAAAAAATTTTGTAATCAGTCTGAAAAAAATTGCAAGCCAAGGATAAAAGTGGCTTGTTTCGCTTATATATATACAGGTTTAACTCAAATGAGCAATAAAATATACATATGATAACACTTGTTTTCTCTGTAAAATGCATAAATAATCCATAAAAAAATGACAAAGTGATATTTTTTAAATAAACAATAAACAAAATTTAATTATTCAATTCCATTTATTTACTGGCACAGACATTTCCATTTGAGTGCTACTCATGAATAAATCTGAACATAATCACTGATTGTACAGTAGGTGTTGATAACAATGTAGTTTAATGGAGATTATTTCTCATTAGGCCAAATAATAGCATGGCTTGCATCTGCCATGAATCATGCAGAGAGAAGCACTTCAGGCTGCTGACCCACTTCAGACAGTGAAGAGAGAAACGTGTTTCAGAAGGATAACGATGGTCATTTTTTGACCTTTTTGTCTGCTGTCTTGTAACACAATAACTCCTCAACCAGATCTGTGGACATACGCGATGCTGCAGGCATGCAGTGTTGTTGCAATGTGCCACTGCTATGAAAAAAACAATACAATCATAAACAAATGAGCAGTATGTGTTGCTTAATCTTCTTCAGATGCACCATGTCTTTCCAAATATCACTTTTGACCCTTAGATAATAAGCTCTCTGAGACCCGCCGCTCAACAATTGCTTGGTGGGGAGGGATGATGCTCAGTTGCTATGGCGACCACCGGAATGCTCAGGCTGAACCGAGCTGGTTCTAGTAGGGAGAGGAAAAAAACATGGTTATGCAATCTGAAGGGAGACACAATCACCAGGTACAGGAAACAAAGCAGTACAATTAACCTCCAGTTAAATAATGACCTTTGTTACACTCAGGCATCAACAACTGGATTATCCAATGCCTCAATAAGGGCATTTTTATTAGCAACATGCTCTTTTTCAGAAATACTTTCATTTGCAGCTGCTGGTATTATTCAACATATTCAATATATTATTGAATATTATTCAATATATTCAACTGCATCATTGGTGATGACAAGCAGTGCAGCCACTTTTGAGGTTATAGCAATCACACTGTAAGTAGGCTATTGCAGTATTTCTTTGTTAAGCATGCTTGAGTTTCAGTGAATATAAGCAAATATATATTAGGGATGCAACAATACAGTTAGCCCACGGTTCAATACATATCTCGTTTTTTTTTATACCACGATTTTCCTTTCAGTTTAATTTAAAATGCGATTTTTCCAGGAAATCCCTAATATGGAGCAAGGCATCACTATCTCTGTGACTAAATAAAAAGAATATAGAAACATTTTGAATGATGAAACGTGAAGACAATAAACATTCGATTGTGACAGTATATGGGTTTTCTCTGTTTTTCAAGCCATCTCTGTTATTTTTATAATAATTAAGTATATTTATAATCCATTGCTAATCGGCATAGCCTTTATTACAGTATAGAATATGTTTTCTGCCTCGTTCTGTGATAGGAAGCCACATCAGATCAGAAAAGGAAGTTATTTCAAACATTCGACTGATGTTGTGGAGTAAAAAAGTTATCTTTTGTTGGACAACAGGTCTCGAAATGCTTCACATTGCAAGTCATTACAAGGGAAGATATTTGGCGTGTGTTGCTTTCTCAAATGTACATTATAAACGAGGAGGAGTTTCCTCATCTCAGCATGTAGACTCACGACGAGCACACAAACAGAGCCAATCCAGAGAGAAATAAAATGCACTGAAATTAATTAAACGCACACTGACAAAAATGCAATTCACAAGTGCGTATTGAACCGTGGTTGTCATACCGAAATGGTTCAATATTATATTAATAATTGTGGCATCCCTAATATATAAGGCCACATATGGCAAAAAAAAAAAAAAAAAAGAGAAATGTAATCAAAAAAGAATGAAAGTGATTATTGCCCAAAGGCTGAATAAACAGAGGGGGTAATGAAGCAAACTGAGCACTACAGACTGGGTTTGTGGACTGGTTGCGACCAGCTCTTTGACTATGGCTGTCTGTAATCCTGTGAATGTCACGATTATGGACTTTGGTTGTGTTTCTTTCATTTCCTGTTCTCCTGTTTAGTTTTGTTCCTTGACCTAGTTTTCCTTAGTTCCCTTGTTTAGTTCATTCTGTTCACCTGTGTCCTGTTAAATAAGTCATTAGTTCCTCTCTTACGGTTATATAAATACCCCTTATTTAGTTCTCTCAGTTGCCAGTTATTGTTTATGTATACACGTCGTTGGTTTGCCTTCCTCCTGGATTCCCTGTCTGTTTTCCTGTGGATTACTATTAAATACTGTATGTTATTCATCTCCTGCGTTGTGCGCTTGATCTCCCACCAGCGAGTGTGACAGTGATAAGGCAGCGTGTAGTCGGAGGTGGGAGAGGAGGGTATGGAGATTCCAAATAAATAATTATGATCCACAAATAAATGTAAAGTGATTTTAAAAAATTAAACATAATTGACAAATAATTAGAATGAGATCCACAAATAAATCGTAGAGTTTCACAAACATGAATTAAATTCGCAAATAAAAAACATATTCACAAATATCTTTTTATGTCACAAACACAACTTCTCCTGGCATTCATTTATGAATGGATAATCCATTGTGACATGTAACATTGGCTTGAGCCCCTGCCCCTTTAGTCGTTGATGCTAAAGTGCCCTTTCTGTCTGATCTAGGTGCCCCCGGGCCGCGATTTCTACCGAGGGGGAGGTCTGTGCTCTTCACTGCTTACAGGGGTGCAAAATGAATCTGCTCCTGCCCTGATTGTAAAGCAAAACATGATTGGTTATAGCGAGAACGTGCTACGATTAGTCAGCGAAGTGTGGCTGTTATCTAATTGGCATGAGTAGATGGTGAGTGGAGTCCACGCATTTGTGGATTGTCAGGCGCTGCGCCCGAAATCGCATACTTCCCTACTATATAGTATGTGAAAAACAGTATGTGAGATGAGTAGTATGTCCAAATTCATAGTATTCGAAAAACAGTAGGCGAGAAGTACCCGGATGACCTATTACTTCTGGCGTGATTCTGAAGTGTGCATACGATTGACACTTTACTATCCCATGAGGCCACAGGGGAGAATTTCTAA